CTCCAGCTAAGTCTTAGCAGATCAGAACCCTGGAGGAGGGGCCCAGCAATCTGCATTTTACCAGGTGTTTCTCAGGCAAGCTAAACAATGACCCTAAGAAGGAGAGGAAGGTGGTGTGGGCCCGGGGGGGGGGGGGGGGGGGGTTGAAACAGTTGTTTGGGTCTGTTTCTTCTGGCCACAGAAGTTTCCATCTGGTTTTAAGTAAAAGGTCTTTTTAGTAACCCACAAGTATAAATTACATACAGAACCAACTCTGAAATTAGTTTCCTGTGTGGAGTTATTGATCCTAAACCGATTAACATCTGGGTCGCCCAGTGTTGCCTGCCATCACCCACATAGTCAGCGGCCTGTAAGAACTCCTTGATAGTAATTGGTACAGGGTTGCTAGTCAATTCGGCCAGCTGGCATTTTGGAAATAAAATTATACTGTCAGCTCACTGCCCACTCTTCTCTGTGGCAGGGGCCTGAGGCTCCCTCCATGGTTTTAGTCACTAAGGAAGAAATCACTGAACTTTGAGTTTTATTGAGTTTCCAGACAACCTCCTGCCTGTTCCCATGCTCAGAATGGGGCTAGATCTCACCGCTATTGGGGAATTGGTAGCTCGGTGTCTCTTCGACCCTTCCCTCCTCTCACAGGCACATACTCAAAAGGCTAGCAATAAAAGAGATGAGCTTCACTTCTCGTTCATGATAGCTCTCTCCAGAAAGTACAAAGACAGCCACAGTGTCAACCACTGGGGAATGAAACTTAAACCTAAAGCCCCAGATTCTTGGAGGCAGCAGCTTAACAAAGGCCTCATCATAGCAATCATCCTGCCTTAGAAAGCAATTCTGGAAGGGTTTGTTTTGGCTCACACACCTGTAGGGGTTTTGATCCATGGTTGCTGGGCTCCATTGCTTCTGGGCCATGGTGAGGCAGAGCAGGACACAGTAAAGCAGGTCTGCTCACCTTGCTGTAGCTGGGAACCAGCAAGAAGTGTCAGGAAAGGGCCAAGGGGCGCACACACCCTTCAGAGGCAAGAACAACCCCCGTTCTTCAACTCAGCTTCATTCTCTTCAGTCCTGCTGCCTCCTATCAGCCTCTTCAAATTGTGAGTCCACTTACGAATTTAGCCCTTGATTAGGTCAAAGCTCCATGAACTACTCATCTCTGGAATGGTCCTCACAGACACACCCAAAGGTGTGGCTACCAATATCCTCAGTGTCTCTCCCCTCCTTCAAGTGGGCAGTTAAGGCCAACCTTCCACATTCATGCTCAGGACCACTGAATGTCAGCCCAGCACTGGCCACTTTCCATGCTTCATCAGTGATCCCACAGCTTGAAAATGTCAGTGTTGAGTTTTCCTGTTCTACAAAGACGAAAAGACACAACCAAGAGAGGCAGAGGAACATTTGATATCAGCTCACTAATTTTTCCCTGGCTGCTGTGGACCAGGCACTGACTCAGTTGAGTAGAGATGGAGCCTACAGATCTTGACTGGGATGAAGTTGGCAGGGGCATCCATTAGGATGTGCTAACCCAGCCACATGTACCAAAGAAGGCTTCAGGAGGCAGGTAAGAGCTGAGCTGAGCTGAGCTGAGCTGAATTTGAAAGTGTGAGCTGCTCTATAAAGGGGTTCCATTGGCCAAGTGTGAATAGCACCATTATGGAGCCGGAGTCTGAACTGGAAATGTGCAAAGACAGAAGGACAAGTGGAAAGTTCAGTGAAGGCCAGCAGGACTGGAGCATGGAGTCTGGGGAGAGTGACAACAATGGAGGAATGAAGCAGGGACCTTCAGATTAGAGCCCATCCACAGCTGTGCTCTGAACAGGCCATTTCCTTCTGAAGGTGACAAGGGACAATGAAGGCCTTTCACTTGGGGCTGTTGTGGTAGGGTTGGCTCTGCTATTGCTGTGAGTGGCATGGCTGTTGAGCTCACCAAGGCACAGGCAGGGTGCTGACAGGATGCCGCTGAGGCTCTGAGTCTGAGCAGCCTGGGTACGGCAGCCCTTGTGCTGAGAGAGATCTGGGGTCACCGCCATGTTTATGATGCCAAAGGAGGTGGTGTGGTCACCAGGGTGAGGGTGGCGTGAGGGGGCGAGGACAGAGGGAGAGAGAACCTCTAACATGTCAGTGGTGCACAGAGCAAGGTTTCAGAACGTGCAAAACATCTTCACTTGGCGCTAGGTTTGGGCTCATTTTTATTTATTATTTTTAAATGATTTATTTATTTTATTTTGTGTGTATGGTGTTTTGCCTGCATGTATGTCTCTGTGAAGGTGTCAAATCACTTGAAGCTGGGTTACAGACAGTTGTGAGCCACCACGTGGGTGCTGGGGATTGAACTCAGGTTCTCTGGAAGAGCACCCAATGCTCTTAACCACTGAGCCGTCTCTCCAGCCACTAGGGTTCATTTTTAAATTGAGCCAGTTCTATGAGGGAGTAGTTCTGCGGTTGATGGTTGCTCCAGGAATGGTGTTGGTCAATGCCACAGTCCCCATGCTAGCTGGAGAAGGCTGAGCTGCCCTGGTGTATGGTAGACTCCTGTTTTCATGGTGACTCTGGTGACTCATGGTGACTCAGAAACTGTTTCCCAAACATGCCTTTGCCTTTAGCTGAATAAGCACCAATGGCACCTCAAGGGCATATTCTACTTAGCTGCCTTGAGACTCCTAGGAGATGAGGTTAGACCATCTGAAGCCTGGTAAATTCCTAGTGATCATTTTTGAGTTGAACTAAAAGCATGACTTCAACATATCTAGGCTTCTGTTTCCAAACAGGACAGAGAAGTAAAAGGTGGTATTTAACACCCCCCCCCAACACACACACACCTCCCCCAAAGGAACAGAGTAGTTTCACTCATCAGTGATGTGATGGTTAGCTAGATAGTGTTCTTAGAACACACGAAATATCTGACAGAATTCTACAGCCACTCAGAGATGCTTCTCACAGTGACCAGGCCTGGGTGTTCAGAAGAGACATCAACACTGGAGAGGTGGCGGGAGTGATGCATTCTCCGTGACCCTGCTGGACATCCACAGGAGGTGGGCATCGGAGAAGGAAGATTAGCAAACTGAATCACCAAGTCCTCAGACTAGAGCATACACAAACTCAGCACCCATTCCACAGGCTGTATGTTATGGGGTGAACACAGCTGCCCCTAGAGAGACACCCACAGAGAAACAGACCCCTCCTCGCCCATTCTCTCAAAAATCCAAGCAACATGCCTGCGTGATTTATGAGGAATAAAGCTCTGTTTGGGTCATGGTTCTGAAGATGCCCAACAGTGTGGTATGGTCATGCTCCCTGTATCTGGTAAACTCCTCATACTACACCACAACATGACAAAGGAGACTATAGCAAGACAGCAAGTTTGCCAAGGATAACCCACTATATCTGTGATTGGACTCATGGATAATAAAGCCACTCCCTCAATAACACATTCGTCTATATGTGGATTCATCACTCCTGAGGGGCAGCATCCTTGTGACGCAGCCATTTCCAGTAGTCTTCTTGCCCAGCACGGTTCCACTGAGAACCAAGTTTTCAGCATGTGGACTTGTAGGGGACACGGTCACACAACATCAACCAACCATTGCACACTCCGTCCACAGGCGCCCTGACCATGACTGCCTCAGTCTGAGCAGTTACAGACACCACCATAGTTACTTATGGAAGAAAAAGTTCCAGAGTGGCAGCCCGTGATGGGTGGGGGAGGAGAGGCAGCAGATGGCTGGATGGAGGCTGAGAGATCACATCTTCATCTGCACACAGGAAGCAGAGAGGGACCTGGGAGTGGGTGGGACTGTAAGCCCTCAGAGCCCTCCTCAAGTGCAGTCCTCCACCAAGCCTTCAGCATCTCAAAATTCTACAACCTCCCCCAGCAGCTACAAACCCAGAACCAAGTGCTCAAACCCACCAACCTATGGGGGAGATTCCCTCTCTAATCACCACAGCCGCCAAGAAGTTCTGTATGAGAGTGTAATTCATCATGGTCCATTGAATGGGGACAAGCCGTTTATCTCTCTGTTGTTTGTTTATTTATGTATTATTTTTGAGACAGAATCTCACTGTGTAGCCCTGACGGGCCTGGAACTCATTCTGTAGACCCAAACTCATAGGGATCCTCCTGCCTCTGCTTTACAGGTACTATTTTTATCTTTTAAAGTTTTTTTAAAATTACTTTTATTTATTTTGTGTTTGTGCATATGTATGTATGTGTTGGGAGGACACACACATGTGTTGGTCAGAGGACACATGTCAGGAGTCAGTTCTCTCCTTCCACGATGTAGGTGCCAGGGATGGAACTCAAGTCATCAAGCCTGATTTTAACCAGTGCCTGTGCCCATGGAGTTCTTCTTCCAGACCATCTGCCTTGTTTATGGAGTGATTGGAGGAGAGTGGACAAAGAAAAATGAGTGTTTCATGTAGATTGGATATAAGGAAATACAAATGCAATAAAGACAGTAATGAGGGGGAAAGGAACACGACCCAATGAGATATATGACCCCAGGTTGATTATGACACAACACAGCAGTATGAAGAAAGATACATTGATGAAACTCTTCCCAGTGGGGAATGATGAGTAGGCCTAAAGAGGATCAAGGCATCAATGTAACGACCAAGAGAGGCCAATGAGCTGATGGTACATACCATGGGGGTATGTACAGACCCCTCCCGTCTGTCACCTGAGACTAAAGAACGGTGTGCATGAGGCTGGGGAGATGGCTCAGCAGTGAAGAGCACTAGCTGCTCTTCCAAAGGCCCCGGGTTCAATTCCCAGCACCCACATGGCAGCTCACAACTGTCTGAAACTCCAAGACCTGACATCCTTGCACAGACACACATGCAGGCAGAACACCAACACACATAAAATAAAAATAAATAAAATCACATTAAAAAGAATGGTGTGCCTGGGATGCAGTGGGGGAGCAGTAGGCAATCTATCCTTTTTTATTCCAAGTTGCATTTTCCTTTCAGGAATTTTTCTCTGCCCCAGGGAAACCGTGAAGCCCAGGATGAGCCAGTCTAATTCCACAACCGTGCTGCCCTTTCTGAGCACGCTGTGGCAGGAGGCGGCTGAGCAGGGCAGCGACGGGCTAGGCCTGGCTCGAAGGTCTCAGCCCCGAGACGACAGCAAGTTGGAGGCGCTCTACATCCTCATGGTGCTCGGCTTCTTTGGCTTCTTCACCCTGGGCATCATGCTGAGCTACATCCGATCCAAGAAGCTGGAGCACTCCCACGACCCGTACAACGTGTACATCGAGTCGGATGCCTGGCAGGAGAAAGACAAGGCGGTCTTCCAGGCCCGAGTGCTGGAGAGCTGCAGGGCTTGCTACGTCATTGAAAACCAGGTGGCCGTCGAGCAGCCTGCCACACACCTTCCTGAGCTGAGGCCGTTGTCATGAGCCGCAGCGCTAGTTAAGAATAGACAAGCCCCATGAGGGACAACCTAGTCTTCCTAGTCACGCACCTGCCATAGTCTTTATTGTAGGAGTACTACTGAAGGGCTGAGGGGTGACAGAGGCTTTCTAGATATTCCCTCTATGGTAGACAATCCACGTATCCTGCAGCACCGCCCCCCCCCCCCCGTCTTCTTAAATCTAGAAGGGTGCCACACAACATGGCTTCGGAGATTGCGAGCTGAGTTTCCCAAAGTCTCTCAACATTAGCCATGTCACACAGCTATGTGCTGGTCAGAAGATGGGCGTGCTCTCCATCCTCCCTGACCACTTAAGGACACTGGCACACCTGTGGCAGCTGTGATGGAAACAGCAGGACACTCCCAGGAGGCCCAGGCGACTCGGGCCCTCGCCTGCCTTCCTGCATTCTCAGGTTCATGGGGAAGAGTTTCTCACCCCACAGCTCCTGCTGCCACTGCTTACTTTGGTCTCTGCTGAGTTACAGAATCTGTATCCAAACACAGTGGCACCTCTGTCCTTGTCGCCCCGTCCACAGCTGTCCTTGCTCTGCCCTCCTGTCTCCCACTCCTCCCGTATTATACACCTTGCCTGCATTCCTTTTCCAATCACACTCACCACCCCACACCCCAGGCAGGTGTGCAGTCATCAGTGGAGAAAATGTGGCCAAAGGTAGCAGGGAAGGTGTAGGCCTGGGCACTAGCAACACGTGGGACTGGTGTGGCAGGGTCCTTGAGGTGACAGGTTTGACTTGTTGGGAGAATTATGTCCCTAAAAGACACGATGAGGCTCTAACCCCCAGCGCTAGTGGGTTGTCTCTTGTTTTGATATAAGATCTTTACCTACCATCATGTTTCAGTGAATGGTTGAAGTGGGCCCTACGCTAATAGGATTATGAAGAACACCACAAGATGTCAGGACAGAGACTGGGGCAATGAGGATAAAAGCCAAGGAGTGCCAGGGACAGATGGCCCCTGGGCTCTGGACAGAGAAAAGGAGCAATTGTCCCTGTGAGTTTCCAAGGACATTGGGGCCCTCCTGAGCCTCGGTTTCAGACTTCAGCCTTGAGAAGACAGGACAATGGCCACCTGCTTGGGAGACTTTGATAAAGCACTCTAGCCAGATAACGCGATATCTGCTGCCCCTTCCTGTCTCTCCAAGCAGAAGGACCTGTGGGAGTGCATATAGAGGGGCACCAGAGCTGCAGTTCACAGCAGCAAAGGCCTGCTGCCCTGACATGCTGGGTGCCAGCCTCTCCCCCTACCACCTGAGACATGAGGACCCTTTGTACCGTGACCCCTTGAAAGCTCACCTCCCGGTGCTCCTGGGGAGTATGGAACACTTCAATGAGATGTGAGTTTGGGAAAGTAAACATAGAGCTAGCAAGATGGCTTATCACACAGGCAACTGGAATTTGATCCCCAGAACCCATGGAGGAAGGAGAGGACAGATTGCAGAGTCGTCTCTGACCTCCATATCACACACACATACACATATAAAACACTAATAAATAAAATAAAGACTTAAAGACATAACATAAGCTAATGAAAAGCAGCCCCCCCACCCCCAGCATTGACTGTCCTCCAGTCACTGGCTCCATCTGATTCAAGCTCTCACCATAAAGCAGGGGTTCCTCTGTGTGAGAAAGGGAGAAAGAGAGGGAGAGAGAGAGCTCTGCATCTGAACCCTGACATGGATGAGCCTCTGAATTGCTACTGTCCTTAAATAATTATTTGGGTCCCAGAGTCCTTTGAAGTTCTTTGAATGATGGACTCCTCCCCATCCCCAGATGTCCACACACACTTTTCCTGCTGTCTTGAGAGTTCATGAGCCCCTGGAACCCAGCCTGTGGCTGCTGCATTCTTGGCCCCTGTGTGAGCCAAGCTCTGTTCCAGACAGATTCCTGTTGCCCAGACTGAGGGAAGGTTTGGAGAGGGACCCAGAGTGCTCGTGACTAGCTTGTGACACGGTGACCTTGATATTCCTGGCTGCAGAGCTTCTATCACCAGTTCAGTTTCTCCACAAGAATTCCTATGCCTTTTAAGGCAGGGAGGGCCCAGGGCTTGGAGCTCTCTGCCCTTGGGCCGGGCCTCACACTCAGTACCCACTGCAGACTCCTTATCACTTCCTCCTGTGCTGGCCTCTTCGTTTAAGGGGCAGAGGGAGCGAGAAGTGAACTGAGCCACAAAACGTTATGTGCCTGTAATGCTGTAACATCTGATTTTGCATGCGTGGAGGGCTAGTTCTGTGCCAGGGACCCTCCTCAGCTCCTCAGAGATTCTGCTGATGTTTTGCATACAGTATTTTTGTTAGGACTGTGCTTTTTGATGAATTAAATTCTTTTTTTAATTAAAGCTTTTAAAAGTAATCTTGTGTTGTCATTAAAAAAAAAAAAAAAAAAAAAAGCCTGATGTTTGTAAGTGCACTTCACATGTGCCGGTGAGGTCAGGAGAGGGTGTGAGATCCCCTGCAGCTGTGCTCGGCTGTAGGCTGCATGGGGTGCTGGGAACAAAGCCCAGGTTCCCTGTTCAGGGTTCTATTCTCTTAACTGTTAAGCCAGTTGTTCTCAACCTCTGGATCACGACCCCTTTGGGGTCAAATGACCCTTTCACAGGAGTCACCTGTGACCACTGGAAACACAGATATTTATATTACAATTCATCGTAGTAACAAAATTACAGTTATGAAGTAGCAACAAAATAATTTTATGGCTGTGGGTCACCACAACTGTGTTAAATGGTGGCAGCATTAGGAAGGTTGAGAACTTCTGAGTTTAGCACAGGACATCTGTATTCAGTCAGGCCCTCTCTCCGTGCCCAGGGCGGCTACATTCAGTCAGTCAGGCCCTCTCTCCATGTCCAGGGGGGCTACATTCAGTCAGTTAGGCCCTCTCTCCATGCCCAGGGTGGCTGTATTCAGTTAGTCAGGCCCTCTCTCCATGCCCAGGGGTGCTGCATTCACACCACTGTGAAACTTTTGGAAGAGGAACAGAGTTGAGGAGCTTCGTAGGCAGCCCCAGCAGCTGCGGACGAAGGAGCACGGGACTGCCGGGGGAAGGTTAAGTCAGCCATCAAGGCATAGTGTGCTAGGATGGAGAATCATGGTCCCTCTGCTCAAAAGTGAGCCTCAGCGGGGGACAGTGGTTACCCGTGGAATCTCTTTCCTTGTATGCTGGGGGCGGGGGTTGGCTTTATTTTTATTTTGTTTTTGTCTTTAGTCACCTTGACACAAGCTAGGGAGGAGGAGCCTCAACTAAGAAAATCCCCCGCCAGTCTGACCTGTAGGTAAATCTGCAGGGCATTTTCCTGATTAACAGTTAATGTGGGCGGGCCCATTTGTGGGCAGTGCCACCAGGGGACAGAGGAAGCCAGGGGGAGCAAGCCAGTAAGCAGTGTTCCTCCATGGCTGCTGATTCAGTTCCTGCCTGCAGGACCCTGCCCTGCTTGAGTTCCTGTCTTGGCTTTCCGTGGTGATGAACTGTAATTGGAACAAGTGAGATAAATAAAGCCTTTTCTCCTCACGTTGCTTTCGGTTATGGCCTTCATCACAGCAATAGAAACCAAACCAAGACACTTTGTGAATATCTGCTGTCAGGGGAGAACACGGGCAAAATGATGAGGGGATCCTGGCTTCCGTAAGAGAAGCTGTGAAGTCTCCTGATTTTCACACATTGGCATTACGTTAATTATTAAACATTATTACGACTATTACTATTATTTTATTTTATTGGTGTGTGTGTGTGTGTGTGATGGTGCTCATGGAAGCCAGGGTCAATGTTAAGTGTCTTCCTCAATCACTTTTCCATTTTATTTTCTTTTAAGCTAAAGATTCGTTTATCTGTTTCGTGTGTGTACGTATGTGCTTGTGTGTGTATGTACACCAAGTGAAGTACCCAAGGGAGGCAGAAAGAGGGCATCAGGTCTCTAGCCATTGTGACTGTACCTCATCATTCCCTTTACACAGCTTCCCAACCCATCCCACCTGTCTCCTTCCCCCAGCCCCTGTCCATGTGCCCACACCCACAGGCCCCTCCCGCATTACATCCAACCAGCCTGATCTACACTCCAGGCTTGGACCCAAACATACATCTGCCATACCAGCCCAGTCCCCCGACTTCCTTCCACCTAAGACATTTTCAACCTGTTAGCCCAACCTGCCCATACATCCTTTCTTCTGCCCCAACCTGCTCTGTCCATATCAGAGAACTAGTCCACATGCACAGATCTCCGTGCTGCCAATGAAGATTGGTGAACCCCAGAACACTAAATTTAACAGAAGTCATAAACTTCATCAGAGAATGCAGTTTAAAGAAGAAACAATGAAACGGCTCAGTGAAACTAAGAAAAAGGAGCTTAGACTAAATAAACAAGGAATATGAAAAAAATTTAAATATACAGGAAAGGGACATCCAGGAAACAGACACAATAGGCATTGATGAGGGTGGAGAATCTCAAGTCAGTGGCAGAGACCAGATCTTCAACAAGATAATAGGAGAAAATGTCCCCAAACTAGCAAAGATATATCCCTACAAATATAAGAAGCATGCAGAATACCAAGTAGGCAAGACCAGAAAAGAAAATCCCCACAGTATGTCATAGTTAAGACCCCAAGTGCATAAAGAAAAAAGCTGCAGGAGAAAAAAAAAAACACAAGTCATGTATAAAGAAAAATCCATTATCCATCAGAACAACAGCTGGTTTGGACATGATTTACCCTCAAAGGCTGTTAGAGGCTTTGTTCTCAGTGTGGTAGTGTCCGGCTGGTAGAACCTGTAAGAGGTGGGACCTACTAAAGAGTAACCAGGTTATGGGGGTCATGTCCTTGGGAAGGATGAGCCAGTTCAACAACTACAGACATTATAAGAAATTAAAAGTGGGGGTGGGGCTGGGACTGGAGAGATGGCTCAGTGGTTAAGAGCACTTGCTCTTCCAGAGGACCTGGGTTTAATTCCCAGCACCCACATGGCAGCTCGTAACTGTCTGTAACTCCTGTTCCAGGGGATCCAACACCCTCACACAGACATACACAGGTAAAACACCAATGTACAAATAGATAAAAATTTAAAAGGTAGTTGGTCAACAAACCCCCAGATTAATAAAGATATTTTTAAAAAGACTGGGGATGAAGCTGGGTAATGGCTCAGTGGTCAAGAGCACGTGTTGATTACAGCGGACCCAGGCTTGGTTCCCAATGCCTAAATAGTGACTCACAATTGTCTAACTTCGGTCCTAGTTTTGGGGTCTGACGCCGTCTTCTGGCCGTTGGGGGCAGAAGGCACCCCTGAGGTTCAAGCACGCACACAAGGTCTCTGGGTGCTTAAGGAGAAGGCTTGAAGGCTCTCTGTTTTAACTGCCAGCCCTTCCCCTCTCGGCTGCTTCCCTACAGCAAGGGCCCCTGGCAGCGGGAGGGAGAACAAGAGGGCACTTGCAAGAGAACACGACACTGGTCACACAAGCAGACAGTGAGCGGTGTGGAGGGGAGAGGGACCCACCTCTGGTGCTTTTATTTGTATATATGTAGTTTTCAATGAGATATTGCTTAGTATTGGCAAGTTATTCTAAAAACTGGTCACTAAAGTCACCTACACTGTAAGGCTAGATGTTTCCTTAGATAGATAAGAAATGCTCCAGACCTGACCAGGTCATTAAAAGACAAGACCCCAGCACTGAGAACTGAAGTGGACACAAAGCTCACTGCTAACCAAGAAGCTATTTGCAACTGATACCTCCGGGGAAAGGAGAAATCAGTTTTCTACAACGGAGTGTCACTGGGTACGACAACCACTCCAGGCGGGACCCGTGTTCAGGAGTGTGGTCAACCCAAGACTCTGTTGTTTGTTTGTGTGTGTCAGTGTGCTTTTTTATTTGTTTGCTTATTTTTTCTTATTGGATCTTCTGTTTGTTTGTATTTTCAACTTGGGATGTTTTTCTTGAGTTTTTTTTTTTTTTCTATTGAGAGAGAGAGAAAGAACATAAAGTTAGTGGGAGGAGGAGTGAATCTGGGAGGAATTGGGAAAGGGAAAATATGATAAAATTATACTGTTTACAAATAATAATATTAAAGGAAAACAAAAAAGCAGACTAAGCCACAAAGAGCCAAATTGCAAATGGCAAGGCTAGTCTCCTCACTTTGCCCCTTTAAAGAGTATTTTGGCTGGCGAATGCTCATTGTCCGTAGTACTGCCTCCCAGTACCCTGTTCACACAGGTCGATCACGTACTTTGTGTGCAACCCCCCCCCCCCCCCCCCCCCCCCGCTCTGCTTTTCCCTCCTGCCCCTTTGGTCTCTTTGGGTCCAGCTTTGCAGTCTGCTTCAAGGACACACTGGGTCTTCTGTATCTGTAAAATCTAGGAACCACCAGCGAGAGAAACCGGCAACATCTGTGTTTCGGGCTGATTGGATTCACTCGCTGCTGTTCCTCCAGCTGCGCCCGTTGTCCTGGAAACTTAACCTTCCCCCTGAATCTTCGTGTGGGTTCCCTCAGGACGCTGTCGCTGTGGCCCAACAGTCTCAGCAAGTGTCAGAAAGCAGTTGACAGGCCGAGGAAATGGTTAGGTGTTCCAAGGTCGGGATCTGCAGGCCGGGCAGGCTATCTTGAGTCCGCGTCAGTAAGGACTCAATGAGACGTAAGTTCTAAGTCGGGCTAAATGAGGTAGGTCGAAGCCTGGGAGGACATGGGGACCCCGGAAATGGAGTGACAGGGTTGGCTCCTCATAAGAGCAGCCATCGGACGCATAGCGTGAATCTAAATGTGCAAAGGAGACGGAGCAGTGGTCCCTATGTCTACCCGAGGTCGGTAAGGTAGTGGCCACGCACCGCGCAGATTTCTAAAAATACTGGACGTCTCCCCGTGCAGCGGGCTTCTGGGTGCGGCTGCCCCCTCGTGGCAGCTTTGGGGATATTGCTGTTGCAGACGGCCGGGTGATGCGTTCTCAGAGCCTTGATCAACTCCCGGGGGTTCGGAGAGCTACTGTGCAGAAAGAGACACACCTCCAGGTGTGCTGCGAGGCAGTTTCTCCGTGCAGGGACCTTGGGCTCGTAGCTTAGGTTTCTGGGAAAGCTGCGGAGATCCCCTTGCGCAGAAAGCTCAGCCCTTTCTCTTTCCGGGGATGACGTAGGAAGACTGCCTCCTGCCGGGGTCTGGGGACCGCTGGTGCTCTGCCTGGAGAAAGGGCTCCACGGCGGCCCGGTCTGGCGGCTCTGAGCTTTGTCTCCTCTCAGTCACACCGGCCTCGCCAGCGCTCACAGTTTAAGCGCATATTAGTACGCCGCGCATTTTCACATGGGTCTTGGGATCGAAATTGTGTCCTTACATTTGCAAGGCAAGCTCTTTGTTGACTAGGCGACCTCCCCCAGCTTCTGGGCTCACGCTTTTCAGTCGTCACGCACGAAAGAGAAGGAAGGGGAATATGGTAGAGGCTCTTGGCAGCACCAGAGGCCAGGAAACAGCGTGCCAGGGGAACCACGGCCTGGAAACCCTCCAAGGGCCACCTCCGGTCGCCTACTCCCACCAGCTAAGCCCCACCCCTTCACTCCACGGCCACCAGCTGTGGAGCAAGAAATCCAATGATGAGCCTTTGGGGGGGGCATTTCAGATTCAGACCACAGCAGGCTTACTTTCGGTGTCTCGTATTTCATAGGCTTGGGCGTGTACCTGCTGTTACATTGGTGGCGTTTCTCTGCCCTCCAGTGCTGTGACCCTTCTAAACAACCCTCCCTGTCACCCTCCGCCTTTCCCACGGTGTCAGAAGTAGTTAGAACCACACACTGAGCTGTCTTTTTTGAATTGACTCTTTCAGTCACCAAGTTTCCTCCTTCCTTCCTGTTGGGAAGCTGAATAATACTCTAACCTCTGAATGCACCATGGTTTACTTACTTTTCTGCTTGCGAGGACATCTTGGCTGCTCCCAGTTTGTGCAAAGGTGAGTAAAGCCACATAAACATCCGTGTGCAGGCTTCATGTGAAGAAGGCTTGTGGTAAGCGCTGAGAACTGCCTGGCCAGGTCACAGGTAAGAGGGTGTTCAGCTGTGTAAGAATCCACTCTATCTTGCTGAGCGACGCTACCATCCCGTATTCCCATGCGCAGTGAGAGAGCCTGTTGTCTGTGCTGCAACAGGATTTACTGATGCCGGCCTTCCTCACCTGGCCTTTCTGGTAGGGATGTGCCCTGCCATGGGTTTTTGTAAATAAGGTTTTATCGGGACCCAGGCACATGCATTCACATGTAATCTAAGTTGAATCCTTGGCAGACGTGAGGATCTGAGTTTGGACCCTATAAAAGCCAGGTGCCTCCACACCCCTGTAACCGTGTTGGGGGGCAGAGGCAGGTAGATCCCAGGGTCTTGCCAGCCAGACTGCCTATCTGAAACAGTGAGCACCAGACCAGCCAATGAGAAGCCTGAGAAAGAAAGGTGGGCGTGTATCCGGGAAGACATCTGCCCTGACCGCTGGCTTTCACATGCACACATGTGGGTACACACACACACACACACACACACACACACACACACACACACGCACGAACGCACACACTACACCCCACACAGAAACAAAAACAAAAAAAGATTCTATGGGCCACAAATCCAAAAAATATTCATGATCTTGCTCTTTATAGAAAATATACATGCTAACCTGTACCCTAGAGCTGTCCCGGTGTTTTTTACTATGTGGCCATGTTGGACTGGCTTCATGGCGACCGTCTGGGACATGCAACAAGGAAGCCAAAATGAGAACTCTGTCTGACTGAGGATGGGTCAGGCTGGACATACCCCACAGTCCTTTGCAGAAATCTCACCACGTAAGCCTGGAATTTGGTGGTGTTTACGTGTGGACATTTATGCATGCACACCTGCTTGGGATTTTTTTTTTTTTCGCAGTCTTTAAACTATTTTTTTTTTACAAAAAATTATTTGCAAAAACTATTATTGCATGTTCACATATAAAATCCACATACATAATCGTTGTTTTGAGAACCAGGTGGTGGTGTCTCGGGCCTTCATCCTTGCACTTTATCCTGCACTCGGGAGGCAAAGGCAGGCGGATCTCTGAGTTTGAGGCCAGCCTGGTCTACAGAGTGAGTTCCAGGACAGCCAGGGCTGTTGTAGGGCTCTGCTGGATTAGGTTGAAGTCGGTCATCTCCAGATAGCCGATTTATTTGCACTCTGTCTATGATGATAGACTCCTTTTTTTTTTTTTCTCAGCAGGGTTCTGAAAAGTCTCTCCTGATCTGGGTTTCAAGTCTCTCCTGATTCCAAGTCTTGTAAGGAGCTAAAGAGAGTCACATGGCCATCAGGGCAGATTACAGGCCAGACCCTTCCCTGGTAAGGAAACTGCTCTAGCAGGCATCTAGGAATTCCTAGAAATGCCCCACCCTGCTAAGGATCTTAGCCCAACAGTGACCTTCAGTTGTACAATAGAGATGCCCCCCTATAGGATAATTAAGTGCTTGTTTTCTTTCTTTCGATGGGACATTAAGTATCCCTGACCCCCTGACTCCATCGAATCAAACACATTCACCCTCTCTCCAGGGTTTATATTTCCCTTGATTCACAGGAACAGAGGTTCAAACTTTCTCACTTCAAACCTTCTGAAATTCATCATTTATCCTCTGCTGGGTCGTGTCTCACCGGGTCTGCCCCCCAGTCCACTGGGCCTGGGCCTCACCATGCATGGTTTACTTTGCTGTCTCTTCCTACAAGAACATGCAAAGCAGACGAGCCAGCAGAAGGCTAGGGGGTGGGATTTAAAACGCCTGGAAGCAAGGACATCCGCAGAGAAGGCAGAATCGCTGGGAGTGCTAACATACTTCATATGAATGCTTTATCTTATGAAATAGACTCTCCTTCTCACTGGGCACACACGTGGCAGAAATAAATGGGTCATTGAAAAGGATGCAGTCTGAGGCAGCAAAAAGATTTCTCTCTCTTTGCGCATACAAGAATATTCAATGTCTGTGTGTAAGCAGTGGCCTAGCCCACAGCAATCTACATCTTCCTTTCATGATTATTTCCATCATGCATGTATGGAAGATTGTTCCTCAGTGCCCAGCATCTTCCTTCTTCTAATATCTGCCAAGGAGCTGGTTATATGGAGTACACTCTCCCCCAAGCCTGGTCCTTTCCTGATGGACATGTAAGTGGTTTCCTGTCTTTGGTTGTTATAAACAATGTGGCAACAGTCACATCTGCACCACCATCCTGTAAACACACCACACCCAACACCCTACATCCCCAGGAGATGAGCTAGAAGGCGTGTGTGCTGTAAATTTTAATTATACCCATTGGCCTTACTAGTGTTAATAACAGCAGGTGGCTGCCATGAGCTGGTGTGATCCGTGGTTTTGAATGATGTAAATGTTAGAGGGTGACCTGGAGAGATGGCACCACGGGGGATCCACTTGACAGACTATCTTTTCTCAGCTGTCAGCAGTGACATGAAATATCTGTACATTTTCATTGGCATCCATGTTGCTGTTGTCTGTAGAAAGGACACCGTGGGGCTTAGTTAGCGCGTGTTAGTGCATGTGCCTAGCATGCGCAAGGTCTGCTCAACACACAGGAAGAAAGGGAGGAAGAAAGAGAGGGGGAGAGAGAGGGGAAGGGAGGGAGGAAGGGAAGAGAGAAAGGAGAAGACTTTTACTTTTACTTTTCTGTGACTACCTCAAATCTTCTGTCTGCTGAGTTGTGCTCAGTGTTGAAAGCCTTTTGACTACTGAGAAACTGGGCAGTTTATCACTGGGTCATTTTCTCTCTCCTTTTTATCATTCTTAATTCTTGATAATATTTTCCATGAAGAAACGTTTAGTTCTTATGGAATTGATCCCTCTCTCTGAGTCTCTGTCTCTGTATGCTCTGTGTGTGTGTACTGTGTTGTGTTTCTGTCTCTGTGCACTCTGTGTGTGTGTGCCCGCATGCATACCTGTGTTGTGTGACCTCCCTCTCTCTGGATCACCTCTCCTAACCTTCGTACCATGTTTGAAAATGCCAGTAGATCTGCAATTATTAAAATGAATCTTTGTGGGGCTGGTAAAATGGCTCAGTGCAAAGCACTTGCTCTATCTTCAGGGGGGACCCCAGCACCCACAAACAAGCCTGCACAGCACTGTGTCTATGACCTCAGTGCTAGGGGGGGAGACAGGCAAAGTGTCCCTCCCACTCCGACTCTCTGGCCAGCTAGTCTAGTCAAAACAGCAAGCTTCAGGTTCTACCGGAGACCTGGTCTTGAAGTATGAAGTGAAGGGGCTGGAGAGATAGCTGAACAGTTAAGGCAATTGCTCGGTGGTTATGAGGACCAGGCTCTGCTTGCTGCTCCCAAGGCACAAGTCAGGTGCCCCTTACAAAGCCCTGGAAGCCCATTTCGGGGGAAGGCGGAGACAGGGAGCCTGCTGGGGCGTGCCGTTCTCCAGCCTTGCTGAGGAGCAAGCCCAGAAATAGACCACGCCTCCTCACAAGAGGTGGGAGTAGAGGAGTATATCAGATGCCATCTTGCAGCCTCTGTGCTTAAGCAGGCATGTGTCGTAAACCCGCATAGACATGTACACAGACAGTGTGGTGGTTTGAATAAAAACAGCGCCCACAGGTCCACAGAGAGGGGCACTCGGGAAGTGTGCCTTGTTGGCGGTGTGGCCTTGTTGGAGGAAGTACGTTTCAGTCACTTCCTGCTGCCTGCTGGTCCAGATGTAGAACTCTCAGCTCCTCCTCCAGCATCACAGCCGCATGCACGCCGCTGTGCTTCCCGTCATGATGGTAACGGACTAAACCTCTGAACTGTGAGCCAGCCCAATTACATGTTTTCCTTTGTAAGAGTTGCCTTGGTCATGGGGTCTCTTCACAGCAACAGAACCCTAAGACAGGCAGGCAGACAGATAGACAGAAAGATCTCTTTCTTAAAACTCTAAGGTGGACAGCAAGTGAGGGAGTTCCCCCATGTTGACCTCTGGCCTCCATACATGCCTATGAGGTGGTGAGGACCTGCACACACAGAAGATGCTTGCTCTCGTTCTCTCATGCCCTTTACTGGATCCCCTGAGTCTATTTCCATGGGCAACTGGCTTTGCTGTGAGATTTTCTTCTTCTACAGACATCGACCCAGGAACTCTCTTCTCCGCTGGTGTGAAATCCCCTCTTCCTTTTGTAATATTTCTTGAACACTTCTTGCCGCCTGCTTCCAGATGTTACCAGATTTTATCTGGACCCACTGATCTGTTGCCTGTTTCCATGCCAGAATGAAGCACTTTCAATTGTGTGGTTTTACAGTCTGGAAATTGCTCCCAGTGATTTTGTTTTGTTACTTTTCTGTTGGAATCTTCTTAGCTTTTCCTGTGTGTTCAACTTCTCCCATATAAATCTTTGCATATATTTGCATATAAATCAATTTGCATATATTGATCGGAATGAGGCTCTGAAACTCTCCATCTTAATGAGTCTACCAGTCTGTTTGCCCCTCTTCCTCCCCGACCCATCACCCCCTCAACCCCAGTGAAGAGGAAAGCTTGGAGAAAACAGGAATCATTTAAAATATTCCTGCTAGAACTTCTGGTCTGGCCTGCAGCCTGTGAGGAAATCAGGGTACCCTGCCCAGGGTGTGGCAGCAACCTGAGATCCAAAGGCTGTCATTCCTCTGTCAGAATAACCAGAAGGACCATGCTGGTGGCTTTCCACAGGGGCAGAGAGACCTGTTTGTCCTTTCTTTTTACTGTGATAGTCCCAAGCCTCATAAAAGGACCTGTATTCAGTGGCACTGAGTTGAAGTTGGCCTGAGAAAGTCAACACACACCTTTGGAAAAGCATCTGTGACCTTCCAGTCCCTCTGACTTTCAAATTTTCTTTGTATAAATCTTAATTTGTTGTGTTTTGGGTATTTTATCATTTTTATCCTATTGTAAAGGAATTTTTTCTCCAATTATATTCATAGTCACTGCTCTTGGCATAGATTCTTGGCTATTGGAGTTTCTAAAGATTTTCTTTGTTCACTCAGTTTACAGATTATCCTGCTGTGGTAATTATCCATGTAATAGGTGCCGTTCATTTTTCTGGTCTTCTAGTTCCTAGTAACTTTGTACCTCTTTTTTTTTTTTTTTTTTTTTTTCTGTTTGACCCAGGTAATTCTCTAGCAGAGTCCTGCACTGCAGGGGTAGCAATGGGTCATTGTGTCGTTCTGGACTTTAGGTGATGTCTTTGATGTTTCCTGAGCAAAGCTAAGTCTGTTTTCTGAGGTACACTTAACTAGTACACCAGAGAAGTGTTTACCTTCCCATCTATGAGGTTTGTAAAATCAGATGCAATCGTAATTTAACCAACAATGCATCCCTCATCAATGGAGAAGAAGTTTGTTGAGAATTCTGTGGCAAATCACCACAGCGGGTTTCTGAACATCAGTCTTTCTATAATTCTTTTATTGTCATTGTTTGGGACAGGATTACACTATGTAGCTTAGGCTGGCATTGAACTCAGAATCCTCCTTGCCTCTGGTTCCGGAGAGCTGAATTACAGGCACAAGTGCCCACGCCTGGCTCCCTCCAGAATTCTCTGTTTCCTGTGGGTGCTGGGGAGGGGACAAAGGTTGATAGGCCCACCAGGAAGCTTCCTTCTGCAGAGAGTGTCCCCAGCGCCTCCATCCATGGTCATCATTCACTATTGCACATACTGGCTCCTAGCGCATTTACAATAAGACACTCCTAAGCCCATACATGAAGCTGGTCTGCTGTTTCTCTGTGTCATGGTGAGCATATCAGGTTGTAGTTGATAGCCATGCTTCACTGAAATAAGTTAGGAGATGTATTTCCTTTATGTTTTCTAGTGTTTAAAAAAAACAAAACTAAAACCCCACTAAAGGAAAAAGTCAGCAGGAATGACTTCTGAAACTGTGGGCACCAGGTGATTCTCTCTCTGGTGGTGATTTTTAGCGTCCCTCCCCCCATCTTCTCTGATAACTAACATTTTCTAATTTTTTAAAGTTGTTTTTGATGATTTATGTTTTTTTGAAAACCATTCATTTGGTCCAGATTTTGAAATCCCCACAGAACGGAACAGGGGAAGTGTGGGTCATGCGACACCTGTGGCCTGTCCTTCAGTTATTACTTTTGTGTTTGTTTCTTCTTTTTATCAGGGAAGTTAATGCTCATTGGATAGTTTTTCACCTCCCCCCCACCCCCAGGAAATCAGCTCTTAGATGGATTGTTAGTTTTTTTGGGTTCTAAAATCTGTCCTTATACTTTCTAATTTTTTTTTTATCGACTTTCCCCGGGTTTGGCTTTGTTATTCCTTGCCTAGCCACCTGGAATTAGTGCACAGTTTTATATTCAAAGGCGGCTGACTGTGTTGCCATCTGCGAGGATGATATAAGGAGAGCCCGTGGCCCTGAGCTGTGGGTCAGCCCACCGTGCTCCCTCTGGGTCAGCCCACCGTGCTCCCTCCAGCCCCGCTGCATGATCTTTCTCTCCCTCAGACCCCTGGCAGTGACTTTCTGCTTTCTGCTCAGTGACTGTCCGCCTTTTCTGGAAGTCTTATCTACATCTGTCAGGCAGTGTGCGGTCCTTGGTGGCCGTTTCCGCGCGCGCACTCGGCGATGCTGCTAAAGTCCCTGCATGTTTATTTCTGAGCTGTGTTTTCTGTTTCCTGGCATCCATTTGTCAGTGGACAGACACTGTTTATGATTTGGGGCTTTTAGTACTGTAATTAGTATTGGTGTGGGCATTTTGTACGATCGCTGTGGACATGCTTGCGGTAGAATCCTTCGTGAGGTATTCACCTAACTTTACAAGAAATTGCTAAATTCTTTTTCACCAGCAATCTAGTGGAGTTCCTGTTTTAATTTAAATGAATTTGTGTGTGTGTGTGTGTGTGTGTGTGTGTGTGTGTGTGTGTGTGTGT